ATCAGTCCTCGGTCAGTAACAGCGTTGTTAGAAGCGTATAAAGGTCTGAAGAGCCGCTCCCTGAAGCCCCGCCCACTTCCGGTTTACCTGCCGCACACAGCTGCTGCCGGTGAAGGACCGTCAGGTCTGTCGTCCTTCATACATTTACACACGTTTCTCCGGTGATCCTGTGCTGCTCCTGTTTCTTGTAAAGCTGCAATAAATGCAGGCTGCTGTGCAAAAAAGAGAAAAGAAAATCAGAGCTGACGTCCGTCTGCAGCTGCTTTCATCAACACTCAAACACACACTGAGTCCGTCCAGATGTGTCCACGCAGCTGCATCGTGGACCACTGACACTACTTCAACAGGCACACGATGTAGGTCACACTTGTTCATAGGACACTTCAGTTTTTATCTGCACATCTCTAAGTGTACTTTTAATAAACACAACTGTTGTCTGACTGTATGAAAAGACAATAAAGGAATTCTGTCTTTGCAGTTTACACCAAAATCAGGCCTTCTGAAAGATTTCACAAGAGCTAAATGAAGATGATAAAATACATCTTTTAATTTATTTAACCTTTATTTAACCAAGTTAAGACCCACTGAGATCCAGGATCTCTTTTACAAGAGTGACCTGGCCAAGAAGGTAGCAACACACCTCAAAATATATACAGCAAGATCATTAAACACAATAAATAAAAAGTCTAACGTTGATGTGAACATGTTCTACGTTCCCTCAGAACAACCCACAATCATGATGACTATGAACAACTTTATGAAGGGATCAAGCAACCAGTTATATCATGTCATATATATATATTTATATTTACAGTTCACCTGTTTGTTTACATGATACAACAAGGATTCATTTCTGTCTATTATTATATAAGTTGAATGAAAAAAGATGTTTGTTTACATCAAGAATGTCTGTTTCACACGCTGTCCTTAAACTGTCTGACCATGTGTGGCTGGACGTTTCTGTTCTGCTTCGGTAGATTGGACCCAGCTTGTGTCTCTGTGTTCTGTATATACTGCAGACATCCTGTTGGGGGCGCTCATGTGAAGGGAACGGATCACATTCATGGTGGTTCAGAGAAACTCTGATGCTCCTGAGACTCTGCTTCAATGTTCTGGACCTTCAGATCGCAGCTTCTGTCTCACAAATCTGATCTCACCAGAGCGCCTCGGTAAACTCTACATCAGAACGTGTTTGGGTTTAAACCAGCTGCTCAGTTCTAAATGAAGTTCAAGCAACGAGTCAAACTGCAGTTCAACCAGTGGCGGACCGTGCATTTTCCTCCTCGGCCTTCAGTGGCGTCCTGCCTGAATCCAACCACCTCTTAACAGCGTCATTATGACACCACGGCTTTAGAAACCATCAGTATTCTGCAGAAAGGCAGCATAGCAGGACGTTGCATCGCAGACAGGTGTCTCATGTAGTGAGAATGAATGCTGTTACTAAAGCTAGAAACCCAGTTAAACAGTTCAACCAGTCTCCATTGACTGCAGCCACGGCGGCATCACATCCAGCAGGAGCATCAATATCAACCCAGTAAAATGACTATATTATATATTTTACTCACCAATGACTCCTTCCTCCTTTCTTTCATCATAAACAGTTCAGTCACTCTGTTGAGCAGCTAATCCACCAGTAAGTCCTGTTCTGTCTCCATGGAGGCTGATGCTGAAAGTCGGCTCGGTCCAGTTGGGTTTCTGACATAAGCTTGAATTCGTTGTAGAGATGAGAACGTTCGCTCGCTTACCTCAAAACAAAATAAAACAAAAAACTTAATACTTTTATGAGAAAGTTTCATCTTGTGCAGGTCGCGACAGGAACCGCTAGCTTTGGCTAGGCTCTCTGACCGTCCAATCAGAGGACGTGAACATGCTGACCGCTCACCGTAGGCCCGCTGGTCCTGGGACCGCCAACTCTCAATCTGATTGGTTAAAGCGACAGTTTCATTACAACACATTTTAAGCTACAGACACCTGCACTTTTAAACTGAAGGCCTCAGGGCAGATTTCTGTGACCATGGCAACACATGACGGCTGAAACATGATTGGATAAAAGCTCTAATATAAACTAATAAGCACCACATCCCAGAGACACGCTATGAAATGAAGAGAACAGACTGTTATACAGACACTGCATGCTAACTTTATATTAGCTAACGCCTCATTAACTAAGGTAACGCTACACAGCGGTATGTGGTTATCGCTCATGGTGTGATGTTGTCAAAGTCTGTTGACATGGAGTTTTTCCTGATCTGTAAAGAAATACATAGTGGAGCAAAAACCACAAGTAATTAGAAATAAGTCAACATTTATTACCTACAATTCATTATTTAAAAAGCTAGCAATTATCACATAGACTGATGAACTATTTAAGCTGATCATATCTGCAACAAAAATGAAGGTTCTCTTGTCAACATGTAGCCAGAATATTTTACAGAACTTAGTTTTGCGTAACAAACAACAAAAAAGTCAACAAAAAATTTAAGTGGTGGAGCAACACTGCTGTCTAAAATGACACAGACTGATCAATATAGAGATCACTGTTCACACCAGTGTTTGGCCTCCACATCAACATTTTTCATGTGAAGAAAGCAAAACAATGGAGGCATGCCTCACCATACGTGCTATACTTTGATTTTACTGATAGTAGAGGACAAAAAGTTTGTCGAATGTCGACCAAAGACTTCAATTTTCATAAAAAATAGAAATATATCCTTATACCCGAAGATCACACTTGGCTAAAACTCTGCACTTTTTTCCATTTTCTAGGATCAATGATTAAAAACGTAGCCTCTACTGGAGGCATTTGTTAATTTGGATCTGCTGGAAACATTTTTGTCTGAGTCCTCACCAAATCTCGTGGCGGTGAGCAGTGGCGGCTGGTCCATACGGGGCGAAGATAAAAAGTAGTTCTCAAACACAAAATTACATTTTAATTAATTATAACAAAATAATGATAAAATTAATAACGTTCATAATGTTTTGCCATATTAACATTATTTGTAGTATTAACAGATTTAATCTTAGTCTTTACTGTGTGTTTACTAATTCTACACTTCCTGGATGCGGGCGCGGCCACATGAGTGCGTATGTAGCTCGAAAAACCTTTTGTGATCATGTGACCTTGGCCCCGGCTCTGATTGGCAGCTGCAGACTTTCTCATGGGACCCGTCCACTTTTGCTGTAAGCCAATTCATTTTGTCTTTATTTGTTTTTGTCTTCTGTGGTTGGACATCTAAACTGTCTGACGCCATCACACGGCCTTTCCCCTCCTCTTCCACCAGATGACAGCTACTGGCCTGATGGCTTAATGCATCTGCCTGCTGTCAATGGAGAAAAGACTGCTCACAGGGATGAGTGACTTCAACCAAAAAGTCGTAGAGAAGTTTGCTGAGCAGAAAGAGAGACGAGCCAATGCTTTGTTCAAATAGCTCCAGACTGCATTTGCAACCTTTTCTTTTTTGAGAGAGTGTGAATTGATGATCATGAAGCTGTATGAGTGTCGCAAGAAGCTGCTTTGTGGACCACAATGGTGGAAAGTAGAACTTTTATAACTTTGGTGTGCTGCAGTATTTACGCTTAAAAATTAGGTCTTCTCGTGAAAAACAGAGAGCACCTGGATTCGCTGTTTTTCAGCTCATAGAAAAGACCGTGTGTAGAATACATATAACTGGGTTTAACCTCAGACAAATCTGACATTAGCGCGCCCTAGTTTAAGTCAGTTTTGGTCACACACCTGTCACCACAGCCACCAGCAGCATCGACCACAGTCTGCTGTGTGGGGCGTTCAGGGAGCATCGGAGAATCTATCGATAAGAAAATGTTCAGAAAGTCACGTGTTTTGCCTTTGACCAGGTGGGAGGTGCAACAAAACGAGAAAGTGGATCGTACTGGTGCTACCAGTGAAAAAGTTCGTCTGCAGCCCTGAACAGTGTTTTTTCATTCTTGATGTGTTTTGAGTTTGTACAGATCTTGTAAATATCGATGGAAGTTTGATGAATGGTTTTGAAATGTAGTTCTGGTCAGTCTGAATAATGTGAAATTAGATTATGATGAGAATATCCTCCACAGGTAGAACATTTGCATTCCTGTAAAAAGTTGTGCCTGATGTTACTCATATTCTAACTTCTGATTTAAAATAAAAGGCCATTTGTCACCAAACATTTTCACCAGCCGCCACTGGCCGTGAGGATTATATATCTGGAGATACTGAACCCGTCATTCGTTCAATCATAATTTGTGAAAGTTTTAAAAGGTGTCCGTCAAGGCTCAGTCCTGGGGCCTGTGCTGATGCTGTCTCATCTGTATCAGGCAGTAATATACATTTTTATGCTGATGATACAGTTTTGTACGATGGTGGGATACTGATCATTCTGCTGTTCAATGTTTAACCTTTAAAATGACCTTCAAGGTAAAACTTTTGTTTTTTTTGAGTATGAAAATACAAAGAGTTCCAGGTCAACCTGAGTCAGTGCAACAACATATTTCTTGAATTCCTGAACATCTGCCCTCTGCTCTCTTTAGCGCTCACACCAGTTTACATCGGTGCATTCAACACTTTTCAAACATCAATTCACTACAGATGATGTGTTCACATCACATCACAAACACATTTCCGTGCACACTGTTCCGTGTATACATTTGTATGTGGCAAATAAAGCGTGTCTTATCTTCAGGATCCTCTACACATTATTCTGTTGTTCCATCTCTTCATGTTGCTTCACATCAAGTCCAGATGTTCACAGAGGAAGGGATCAACCTCACAGAGGAAGTCGATCATCTCTGAACTGGCAGCGTCGCCTTTCTTTCTCACCGTGTCCACAACAAAACGAGCTTTGTTTCTTCTGTTTTGCTTCTCGTCTGCTGACTCCCTCTCAGAGTCGGTGAACACCCTTTTCTCCAGCAGCTTGTCCAGCAGACTATTGAGAACAGGTCCTGATGTGCCGTCGATGAAGCAGCTGCGTATGTCCAGCAGCTTCTCGTTTGGAAGGTTTGATGCACAGGTCTTCATTTGTCCAGCGGAGGAAAGACAAATTCGTCTTTCCCAGACACTGTGGGAGCTGCTGTCTCTCAGAAACAGCTTCATATGTTTCATCGCCATCTCCAGAATCACCTGGAACGTTGGGAAGTAGTTGTCGTAGGAGTCCTCGTCAAATTCAGCATCTGTTGGCTGAACGAGAACCGAGTCGTCTTCAGGAGCAGTGGACAGAATGTAGACCTGATCTGGGTGCAGTTTACAGTGTGGAGACGTCTCGATGTACCTCTCCTCTCCCACTAACTTCCTCCTGGTGCGCTGCACATCGCGCAGGGAAACGTTTTTCGGCAGCAACAAGACATTGAGGACGGATGTGACATCTGGATCATCTGGTGGCCTGTAGAACAGCAGAACCAATGCTCAGACCGGGTCGGGGGGAGAGTCTTCGTCCTTCACAATACCGAAAGCAGAAAAGCCTGTGATGTTGATAACGAGGTGAGTTTCTGTGATCTTCAGAGGGGCGATGAACTCGATGCCGTCATCTGTCACGCGAGCCACTGCCAGAGATCCAGCTGTGGGGCGGATCTGGCAGTGTGGGAGGTGAAGCTGACGCACAGACTGCTGCACACACTCCATGTCAAACAGGGGTCCTGCAGGCTTCTTGTGATGTTGGACCAGGAGCCTCCTGTTCCAAGGGACCGTCCTGTAAACCACGTCCCCCTCTGCCTCCATGTCAAACACCAGGCCGGTCACACTGCACTGGTACAGGCCCGGGCAGGAGCACTGGAACCTGTAGCTTCCATCGTCTTCGTTGTCTTCACTGAAGTCAGGTGTGAACTCCTCAAAGCTGCTCTGCAGCTTCATGTCAGGTAAGCTTGCAGCTCGTCTTGGGTTGTTGTTTGCTGCAGAGATTATGTGGCTCAGTGAAGGAATGCTGACAGAACCAGGAACGCTGCTGGAGGCTCTTGGACTCCCACCAGGACCTGAGGAGGAGATGTGGAGCTGAGGACGTGTTGGCTGGATGCTTGTGACCAGACAGTTCACAGCTCCAACAGATTCCTCTATTTCCACCAGATCCTCCGTCTGTAGTCTAACACCACCAGCAAGAAGTGGAGCTTGTGCCAGAGACAGTGTAGAACTGAAACTACTTCTGTAAGCATCAGCATTACAGTCTACAATTCCATGTATATGATCTTCATTAGCATAGTCTTCATCAGATTCAGCGACATCATCGTATTCTGGTAAACCTTCATATATATATGAATGTGTACTGTCAGCGTTGTTTGTCTCACACTGAGCCACACAATTTTCATAATCAAGAAACTCATCCCAGTCTGACCGACTGGCTCCAAACTCATTCCTTTCCCTCCTTGGATTCAAAGGTGTATCTTCTGTACAAACAAGACTTCCACATAATTCATATGCATCACCGAGCTCACATGGAGTAATTGTACCCTGTTCTTTCGCTGCATAATCCAAGGATGGAGACCTACAAGAACGTGCAGGCTGAACGGTCCTGGGGTGAGAAGGAAAATTATCTTCTCTCAACCATGACCTCTGTCTTTCTGTTCCTTTATAATTCATCATTGCTCCATCACATCCAGAAGTGTCACAGGCAGAGCTTCTGGAGCGAACAAGCAACAGAAGCACAGAGATGATCCACAATTTCTCCTGTTCGTCTTCCTGAGACTCATGTTGGACTGTCTGGGTATGTCTGTGTTTTTTAAAATCTTGTTTTGACTCTTCAGCCCCAGTCCTGGATTTGTATTTGTCACTTTTGTGTTTCTTCTGCTTCAACACCCTGAAACAAAACACATCATATAATACTGATAACTCTTAACAATTAACATGAACACCTTCTACTCCAGAGTGACAAGAGAACTGAAGTATGTTATAAAATAGATAACATGTATTGAACATATAATAAACAACACAACGCACAATTATAGAAATAACAGATCAACATTTATTGGTTTCCACAGATGTTAACAACGCTAAAAAAACTTATGGTGCCTCTACACTCTGCAGATATTTTACTACTCACATTTAAACAACTATTTCCCTGAGGTACTCTACCAAAGGGATCAACAAAGTTCTATCTAATCTAATCTAAATGTCATTTCCGTGCTCGTCTCCTCTGTTCTTTGTTAACACTGCCTGCAGTTCAGCTGAACATCCCTGAATTTCTGTCCTGTGACTGAGTCTGCAGCGGAGTCCCCACCATCTGCTCAGTTATGGTGAGGAGCTCAGCGTTTGGGTTTTTACAGAATCTGGTCAGAACAAAGAAGTTGTTTCTGGCAGAATGTTTGAAGTGAGGCATGTAGGAAAAAGAGATTTTGATCAAATAGCAAGATTTTAAGCTTAGATTTGATTCATTACCCCCAAATAAGCTCAAAATCCAGCGTTTATTTCTGTTCTTACAGTTTGTGACTGATAAATGGGGTCACTTTGGAGATTTCTGAAAGACAACGTGCCTTTCAAACCCACTGGTGGGTTTTGGGGCTCAGAGGGTTAAAAATAAATAAAACACAAAAGTCGAAGTAGAAAAAAACAAAAAAGCATTACAAGGCAAGTAGGTGCAAACAAAACGGTCACGTTAGTTTATTGTAGTCGGTGGTTCTAGAAGGTTGGTTTAAAAAGAGAGCAATGATTAAAACAAACCACGTGTGAGATGCCACATGTTAAAACTATACGTGAAACAAATGCGTTTGTATTTCATGTTAAATGGTTCACACGTTCATTTTCACTCGTCATAGAAGCTGTTCTGTTGTAACTTCAGTTCAGTGTTTTCCAGCCACTTCACTCTTCTCTTACATGTTGTGAATAACCAGCGATAAAGTCGCTTCCTGTTCCCGCGAGCTCAAAAACACTCATTTAAACTTGTAGTTAGACGTTCAGACATGAGTTCTTGTTTCTGACTTACCGGTGATCAGCACAGGAGGAGGTCAGCCTTCACAGACGTAAGGAAGACAAGACTAAAGGTCAGAAGGTCTGCGTTGGTGTTTCTCTTCCTACTCTGGGTTTCCTGGGGAGTTTTCACCAGTTCATGTTTTTTTGTTTTTTTTTTAAACACAAAATGAACAAAAACCAAAAGCTACAGTCTGATGTTGCTGCAGCTTCACACATTACGTTTGGTACTTTTACACGTATTCATCTTCTGCCACTTTCATGTCCTTCAGAGGTTTTGTATTTGTCTTATCTCATCTTTGAAGCTTGTAAATGTTAAATGAGTCCACGTTTCCTACTGTGATGACGCCCTCTGCTGCCACGAGTCACAGAAACAGCTGACTGCTGCTGGAGTTTCATCTATCCATCAATTAGTTGTTAAAAACTAAATAGCAGCTATTTCTATAATTGTTTAATCAGTCAGAGGACTTATTTTCAATAGAGAAATGTCTAAAGTACATTTTTTCTGTTTTTTTTTCTCCTCTGTGACAGAAAATTTAATATCTTTGGGTCTGAACAAAATACGATTTTTAAATCATTTCATACATCAAACAGCTGATCCATTAAATACGGGACAGTGAAAACCTGACCTGCTCTCCAGGATTACAGGCACAGAACCAAGCAGAACAGAGCCAGGGTCAACTCACTGTGAGTAGTTCACGAGCCGGCGTCGACTTGTGGCCTGAAGCTGGCTTTTATGGAGAGAGGAGGTGAGTCATTTGCAGACGACCACTCAGGTAATCAGCTGATGCTCTGCACCTGTCCGCACCTCACTCAGCCACGCACACGCCACCCAGGGAAAGGAAAGGGAGAGAGAAGGGAGAGGAGAGAGGCTGCCACCAGGCAGGGTCAGAGGTGGAGGCCATGAGAAACACAGCATTTGAGAAAAAGAACATCATCCCAACAGTTAAACATGGTGGTGGTGGTGGTCGTGTGATGGTCTGGGGCTGCTTCAGGTCCTGGACGACTTGCTGTGATTGATGGAACCATGAATTCTGCTCTCTACCAGAAAACCCTGAAGGAGAACGTTCAGTCATCAGTTGGTGACCTCCAGCTGAAGTGCACTTGGGTTCTGCAGCACGACACCGATCCAGAACACAGCAGCAAGTCCACTTCTGATAGGCTGAAAAAAAAGCAAAGTGAAGGTTTTGGAGTGGCCAAGTCAAAGTCTGGACTTAAACCCGACTGAAACGCTGTGGCATGACCTGAAAAAGGCTGTTCATGCTCAAAAACCCTCCAGTGATGCTGAATTAAAACAATTCTGCAGAGTAGAGTGGACCAAAATATCTCCACCGAGATGTGAAGAGTCAAAGCCAGTTGTAGAAAACACTTGATTTCAGTTGAAGCTGCTCAGGGTGGCTCGACCAGTTATTAGGTTTAGGGGGAAGTTACTTTTCACACAGGGCCAGGTAGCTTTGAATAGTTTTATTTCCTCAATAAATAAAATCATCACTTAAAAACTGCATTTTGCGTTTACTTTGGTTATCTTTGTCTGATATTTACATTTGTTTGATGTTCTTAAACAATAAAGTGGGGAAATATGCTAAAAACAGACTTTCAGAAGGGGGCGAATCCTTTTTCACAGCCCTGTAGATGGACAGAGACTTTGTTCAGCCCCTTTGATGAAATTCAAGGTGTCCAGGAGCTCACACATGTTACAGACAGACAGACAAAGGAACGACGTACAAAAGATGCGACTGGCGTTCAAATCCTGGCAGTCGAGGAAACGGCAACAAGGTGCCTAAAAAGACCAGTAGGTACAGAAATGTGCAAAAGGTTGGTGGTGTTTCAATCAGACAGAGTTGTAAGACTACAGATTACAGCATCTACTTCAGAGGGTTTCAGAGGGAAGGATGCCGTCCGAACAGGGAGCAGGTTAAGAAACCAGGTTAAACCAGAGCCAAGAACAAATCAAAGCAAACTTACTTGAGCTGAACTGATCAACCATAGTCGGATCAACGGTCCAACTTCGAGGCATGAACTGAGCCACAGTTTTATGGCAGACGGAGGCGATACCGACCCACACAGGTGAGCTCACGTGATCATCACATACAGCGACGCACACATCCACACCCACGGTATCAGAAAAGGGAAGGACGGCTGCCAACAAAGCACAAGTTTGACAAAACAAATAAAAATTAAATGAAAGGCTGACCTCCTCCTGTGCTGATCACCGGTAAGTCAGAAACAAGAACTCATGTCTGAACGTCTGACTACAAGTTTAAATGAGTGTTTTTGAGCTCGCTGGAACAGGAAGCGACTTTATCACTGGTTATTCACAACATGTAAGAGAAGAGTGAAGTGGCTGGAAAATACTGAGCTGAAGTTACAACAGAACAGCTTCGATGACGAGTGAAAATGAACGTGTGAACCATTAAACATGAAACACAACCGCATTTGTTTCATGTGTAGTTTTAACATGTGGTATCTCACACGTGGTTTGTTTTAATCATTGCTCTCTTTTTAAACCAACCTCCTAGAACCACCGACTACAATAAACTAACATGATTGTTTTATTTATACCTACTTGTCTTGTAACGTTTTTATATTTCCTACGCTGACTTTTGCGTTTTATTTATTATAAGAAGAATGAAGTCGTAGCATTTAAACCAGTTGTTTTAGAAGGAAAGTTGGTAAAATGAGGGCCATGGAGCATTTTGTGAAGTTATACTGCAGCATTAGTTTCACCACGGCCCTCATTTTAACAACTTTCCTCTTCCAAAACAACTGGTTTAAATATTCCGACTTTATTCTTGTAAAATTACGACTAATGGCCCTGATACTCCATCGTACATTCTGCCCTTGTGTAAACCTTTTTCTTTTTTTTTTTTACACATCTCCACCATGTGTTGGTACATTTTAAAACTACAAATGTTTCATGTTGTTATTTTTAATTCTAAGTAATATATGTTGTGATTGTTTCAAATAAAGCTTCATAACAAAAAGAGAGAGTAATAACTCCAAAGCAAACAGGATGTGATGTGGTGAGTACGAGTCATGAAGAGAAAAAGGAGTTCAAAACGTGGTTGTGTTGGTCAGAGCTGAAGTGTGAAGTTGGACTGAAGTCAGACTGAAGTCAGACTGAAGGAGGAAACGCGTGTTTGAATGTGTCAGTCAGCAGCAGGTAATAAAACACGACTATACCCAGAGTAATGTGATCGTATGTGTGTGTTGGTGAAGTACGATGATGTGAAACTGTTTGTGCAGAGCTGTGAACCTGGATCTCAGTCTGGATGTGTGTGAATGAAACCAACTGGAATCCGTGTTCAGAGCCTTCACTTCA